CATAAATAGGTTTTAATACTCAAATTCCCCATGTGACACAAATAAAAACCAAAAACCTAGCCCCAAACAGTTTGGTTGAAATCACACCTGCTTTTACAATGCATTCCTGTGTACATGTTTCAGCATCTGTAGATTTGTGCGTGTGTGTGTGTGTGTGTGTGTTTCTGAGCGTGTTCAGTTTGTTTGTTCCTTCTGTGATTTATGAGGCTTCATTATCAGAAAGCGGCTGGGGCATTTCCAGATGTCTGTATTTTCCACCCATTCATAAGATTTACTGTCAACAAGTGTCATCATCCTGCAACTATTTGCTTCACTTTTCTAGCCTCTCTTATATAATACATCTTTTTTATTTTTTGGTGACTCATTTTACTGTGCAACAATCTAGAACTTGTTAACAACAAACAGAAATTTAGTTTTTAAAAGAATAAAAGAGCACATCACACAAGTTTGGCACGTTAAACCAAAAGAGTGTCAAAAACCACATGGAGTCGATATATCACCGCGCTCATAAAGTCAAAGTAATGCAGTTGGGATGCCTCAGAAAGTTCTCCTGTAAACAAGCACAAGTTGCCATTGAGCAAAGTGTGTCAACGGGGAAATTTGTATGGTGTTATCTTTCAAAATAGAAATGTTTGGTGTGGGAAACGGTTCACATTCACGACAGCACATGTGCTGTGGTTTCATAACGCAAACTTTTACTGATACAGAATCAACAGCAGACAATGAGAGAAATAGATTGACTCTGCAAATCCCTGTCAGTTTGGTTCCTGAAGTGCTACACGCAAAGGCAGTAGCCTTGAGTCGACAGGAAAAACAAGGTTTCCTTGTGGGGGTGGAGGAGAAGTTCATTTTCCACATCCTGTCCCAAACACAAGTCCTTTCTTTTTTACATACTCTCTTTTTGAAATCCCAGCAAGTCTGTGTTTGTCTCCATGTTACAGCTGTGCTCTGCAGGGGAGTGACCTTGGGGACAATGACACCACACAGAGTGGTCAGCGTGGCCACAACTAAACCCACTGCAGGCAGCCCATGTTGGACTGAATGGTGGTTGGTTTTAGAGCTCACCCTTAATGGGCAACTGCATTCTTTAAGTCAAGTATGTGGAAAAGAAAAGAAAGAAAGAAGGCAAACCTAATTATGAATTTAGCACGTGCTCTTTGCTGTTGACGTTAGAGAGGAGGATGTGAGAGAGTGTAAGCGAAATGGAAATCCAGTGAAAGTAGCCATATATTGTGTCTTTTTATCTGAGTGGGAAGGTGTGGTCTGGTTAGAGGATGTTTGGGGACTGAGAGGCTGCCAAAGCCGGAACATGGAGGAAGAACAGAGCAGAGATCTGCCTGTGACCTTAGCACGCAAACCACTGAACTCCATTGTCCACTAAAGCACAGGCAGATAAAGAACTGTGTACAGACATAACCAGAGACAAGGAACGGTCTGCCTGTCCTTCTGAAATAAAAATACCTCTCAGTAAATCAGAGAAAAAGACATTGAATCCTGATAAACAGTCATCTTGTTTTAGAACCCAGTGTCCGCAGCAAATGCAGCAGGACCAGCATTGGAGATGACAGATGCTGTGTTTAGTGTGATGTTGCCCTGGAGACAGAATACAGATCCAAACAAAGGGTTAAAGGTTGCCTTGTGGTGGAATGTTTACCAAAGACGGCGAGGACGAGGGCTGGTATAGGGCAGCACCCTCTCTGTCTTCATATGCAGTGCCTCCTCGCTAAATTTAACACACAATCGTGCTCTGCGGCTAGGTCAGTGGCTGAGGTCTTGAGGGAATTCAGAGAATATGTCCTTCCAGTGGGAATGTGAGTCAAAAAAGGTGACTGATATGTTGTTTCCGACTGTAACTTTCAGAGGAAGTTGGTCAGGGGTCAGCAGCCCCCACCCCACCTCTGTGCCTTGGCACATCCTCTGCAACTACATGCTCTAAAAATATCATCACAAAACAAATAATTCTTCTGAAAACGTAACCCAACGTTGTCACAACAGATTAGGCTTCTAATGACTGTCTACACTACACTGCTTATCATTTGGGTCCAATCCAAAACAAACAAACAAAAAAAATAAATAATCAGAGTGAGATCCTCTTAAAACCTTGCTAATTAAAATTTTTAGGGATACAATATTCCATAGATACATGTATCAGGCCATAATAAAGTTTTTGCATTTTGAGATGTACTGGAGCTCATACCACACGGGGTATTCAGATACTCTCGTGCATATAGAAAGGAAAGACATTTATATCACAGACATTGAAGTGTTAATGACATTATAGTGGGTTTAGTTACAGCATTTATTAAAAATAAATTTAAGAATTGTCACTTTTTTCACCCTAAACGAGAGGCTTTTGGTTCAAAAAGACCTTAATTCAGATACAGCAACAGAAAACCAGTGTGAACAAGGTCTCAATATGTTCACGTTTTCACCCAAAAATATGCAGAAAAATAATCTCCTCCTAGTTACAATTTTTGTTACTCGGTGTAGCTGTAGTCAGTGTTATTCTTACCCTACTATAAACTATAAAATGTTCAGATCAGACAAGTTAATACTGTATACCAGTGCTGACATATTTTGACAACAATCTTAACTCAAAACGCCATGCTCCATAATCAATGAGTTATTTAACTGAAAAAGAAAATACCATGCAGGAAGTAAGACATATTTAGAATCAACGCAGCAGCCAATGGAGAAACTGTAGAGCTGGTAAACAGAGTAAAACACACCTGTTGCCTCACAACAGTGTTAACAAAACACCATCTCAAGACACTTGTTACAATAAGCCTCAAATAGAGACCTGCAAAAAAGAACAATATTGGCAAAGAACAGCCAGTCCCGGAAGGGGAAAAAATAAACAAACCACCTGCTCTGACACAACACTCGCTGGGTGTCAGACCCAGCTCCTCTGTAAGAATAACAGCCACCTGCTAAAGGCTAACAATAACCTCTGCTATGCTTGCTAATGATCACTTCACCTGAACCCAGTGTGTTGTACACAGCAGATGACACTGTACAGTCTTTGTTCACATATTACCACTGACGATAGTCACATACCAGTTTTTATCACGGTTACATAAAAGACAGCATGAGCCTGTCCTCTGACCAATTAGAGCCAAGTGTAACACTAAATACCAGGAGGTGTCGGAGGAACAGTAACAAAACTGTCCTCTTGCATAAGACTGCATGAAATGGAAGGAATTTACAGGCACAACATAAACACACACGCACATACACACACACACACACACAGGCTTATTCCTGTTCTTATATAAAGACAGTAGACGATCACAATCTGACACTGGTTCTAATCCTAACTAAATCTGAAGCTCAAAGATTATCTCTGTTTTGTAGGTTTTTGTAGTTTTTGTATGGTCACATAAAGTTCAGTATAAAAACTAGACCCAGAGTTGTTTATGGTCACATAAAGTTCAGTATAAAAAAGTAGACCCAGAGTTTTTTGTTTTTTACACTACATGGACCCACATGGTCTTAAAATGTACATCTTATATGTTAAACATGTTGTGTTATATAGCAACACCCACTATTACAACGGTATACTACAAATGTAGAATACAATTTCTTTTTTATATACTTTACGCCTTATTTCAACAAATTTAGGTTGAGTGTTAATTATTATAATGTAAAAATATAGTAGGTATTGTAATTGTAATTCTAACACACACGTGTGATGGTGGTTGAAACAGTGGCTGTAATTCAACCACAGTTCTTCCACACATCTGCTTTGTGTTTACGTCATTTAGGGGATTTGTATTGTCTAGCTAACAAGATTAAGAGGGCTCCACAAAACCTTAACTCTGAAAGGACTCAGTGGACCCCTACAACCACAGTCCACTCAGGGTTCCTCAATGAAGTTGTCATCTGTTTGACCAATCAATCGCACTACAGGGTCTCCACTGTAAAGAGCCTCTTATTATGTGCAGTGAAAGTAGTGTTTACCCAAGCTTGCTGAGTTACGCTAGGTTCATTTGAAGACATTGCGCATCATTGAAGCTAACCTAATACATGGCAGGGGCATGTGTCTGCGTTAAAAAGGTATGTCGTGCAAAAAGACAAAGCAATGCACAGAAGGAATGGCAAGAGATAATTCAGGAATGCTGCCTATCTTTTTATCAACAGATTGTCAGGTTTATACACGTGGCTACGTTTCCCACTGACAGGGACAAAAATGCAGACATCCTGCTCGACATTTGATGTTATCTTAGAATTCATCACTTCTCGAAGTGTTTTATTTTTTAACGATCTCAGTCAAACTAGGTTAAGTCCTGCCCCAGCAGCACCGGCAGCAACCTTGTTCACTTTGCCTTCTTTCTGAAGGCAATGCCAGAAGAACAAGGCTGACAAATCCATTAAGTGAGCAGGCGAGGGGTTGAAGACGTGCGTCTCACTTGAAGGGTTTCCACCTCCCTCCTCCTTTTCCTGGCTTTTCACCTCCCGCAGCCCCCTTGTGACCTCTCTCTGAGGGAGAAGAGGTCTACTTCTTTGGACCTAGCTAATTACAGAGCTTTAACGTCTGCTTGGCTAAGCCCTAAATGCTGCAGGACATTCCTACAATTAGGAAATTCAATGTGCATGTTTGTGTTTGTGTGAAAGTCTGTTTGTGTTAGTTGTCCTAAACATCTCTTTAAGAATGGTGCTAATGTACATTTACATAATGCAGTAGTTACCACCCACTCTCCATTAGTACCAAAACCTGACACAGTTTTTGATTTTTGCCTTTGCTGAAGTTTCTGGATTCAAATTTAATAATAGTGTTCGTAGGAAGGACTGTTAGGTAGGTGTCAGTTGGCTTTTTCTTATTTCATTGCTATGTCTTTATTGGTCACAGGAGGGTCATTAACTTTGTGAGAAAAATGAATGAATAAAGGTAAACTCAAGGTCTTCATTTGAATCCTGACATGCATCTCTGATTCAACAGTGCAGCTTCCGGTGTGTATTAAGTCATCATAGTGCTATGTAGGAAAATGGCTTATGTTTACCAGTAGAGGTCGTCGATTGAGGGTGGGGGTGCTGTCTATGGAGGATGTGGCACTCAGGGCATTCTCAATTTCCTGGTCCAGCTGGTCCAACTTCATAAGCAGCAACACCATCGAGTCCAGTCGAGCATGCTCCGGCTGAAGAGAGAGGAGTAAAAGAAATATTTTATTTTAGGGGTAATTTATACTAGTGTAACGTAAGTGGTTCTCCTAAAAATTATTTGTATTACTGGTGCAATCAACAACATGCACGTATCGACCACATATCTTAACCAAACTAGCATTTTGCTCTATTTAAAAATATTTCACTTAGCATTTATAATTTTATTAACTTGTCATTATCTAAACTTGCTCCATCTGGACTTGAGCTATTCCAAGTCCTGAGAAAACTAAACAACACCTGAGCCCTATCTACTCCCACGTCTCAGTATTATCAAATCATTTTTCACTCGAAGCTGATCAGGAAATAGACAGATAACAGATAAAAATAGGTTTAGTTTGTTCTATTAAGTGTCTATAAAAACGTTACCTGACAAGAAACCTTAATTAAAATGTTAATGTAGTCTTAAAACATGCTTAATTTTCATTTCTGTATTTTGATTTCCTTTTGTTACAAAAAAATAAGACAATGGGTTTTAAAATAAAAGTGACCGAAGACATTAGCACCTTATAACATCTTGCACAACTGCCTTAATAACCTATTGGTACACACATACGTACATATCAGTCAAGCATGTCAGCTAAACGTCAGCTTTCAGTTATGCTAATTTTCCGTGCTGTATGCTAGTTAGAAGACTTTTAATTTTGTGTAACATCTGCACTCAATTTTCGATCACATGACATTAATATATATTGTTTTTCTTTTGCTGACTTGACCCGTCAAAACAACGACATAACAAGGCTCCTACTGACCTCAGGTGGTGTAACTGCGTACAACAGGCCGAAAACAAAGTCCTGTGTTACTTCTTTTTGTTGGCGCACTTAGTAGGCCCTGGTGGGTATTTTAAACAATGTTTACCAATATTAAGTTACTCTTTTTTTCTTTTCTTTTCGTTTTTTCTTTTCTTTCTTTTTTTTTTGGCGTTTTTGCTGCCGTGCTGTTCTTTTTCAGTCTTGAATGTGGCCGTGACTGAAAGTCTTTCAACTACAGAGAAACCTCATTAGTTCCTCACTAACCTAGTTAGGATTCTGTTTACCAAACCATGTTAAAACATTTTATGGGGTTGCGCAGCAATGACGTCACTAGTGTGACTAGGTCTTTATGTAAACAGCAGATGTGTATTAATATGTAGCAATTTAGCTCGAAGTCAGTAAGTTATACACACTATAACCATGTTGTTTTAACATAACACACAGAGTTTCTAAGCTAAGTTGTGATGAATGCTAATGTTGGTCCTGCTGACAAGCTAATACAGCAGGGTCCAGATAAAATCTGCCCCCATTAGAAGCAGCTGTAGTTTGTCATGGCAGCCTCCTCGTTCCATCCCTAATAACATCTTAGAACTTGTGCTTACTTATATTTTCCAGTTTGTGTGGAATCTGCCTGTCAGAACAATTTTTTTCCCACTGGTTTGCTGAAAGGGCAACATGAAGGGGCTATGCGCTGCAGATGCAGTTGTTTAAATTCTCCGTGGCTGCGCACATCGTTATGTTTTGTCTCCTTGGCAAAGTTTCACAATGAAACATTGTGGGGTAGTAAAACAATGGTATCTTTACGAGGCCTAACTGAATGAACAAAAGCATCTGGTTTGAGACGGCAACAACAACCACGGAACAACAGGGCAGAAAACAAGTGCAGTGTAATGTCAGGCACTCCAAGGAGGCACAGTTGGTCCTGGACCATTCTGGTGGTCTTGTGGTCCCCCCGCCCCTCTTTCTGTCCCATCTTCTGAGGTTTCTGTTACACTCTGAACTTCCTGTTTTTTTAATGGGAGACAGTTGCCACACTGATGTGAAGTGTCAAACCCTCTTATTACATTCTGTGGCTTCCAGTCCATTCAAGTAATTTTTCTGCTCTACACATCTCAAAGCTGGAGAACCAAGTTCCTTCATTTTAGCATGAGATCAACAGAAAGGACAGCGAGTCCAAAAAAAAGGGGGGGGGGGGGGGGGCATTCGGGCGGCGAGTCACCAACGGTCTGCAGTCAGATGAGTGACAGTAAAGCCAGTTCAGCCCAGAGGTCAGAATAAAGTCTTGTTGCTAAAACAAATAAACACAGTAACAAAGCTCAGTATCAGAGTAATCTCTATCCATTATTCAAACCAGATTGGCTTAAAAAAAAACTGGATGTGAACTCAATTTGCGTGGTTTACTGGAACATCTTTGTTAATTAGTATCGTATGCTGTCAGGGGATTCCTCTCACTATCAGCAATGAACAAATGACGTTGGCTCAGTAATTCTATTTTCTTTGATTTTACAGCATATCTTCACATTAATCTTTTAATGGAACCATTATGAATCACTGTAGTCTGACTTGTAGCTAAGACTAGAAGAAGTCTTTTTTTATGTCTTTTTAAGGGGCAGAAAGGTGGAAATGTATCTAAATGTATCTATTTTATTTAAGAGACTGGTGGACTAGAACCACATCAACTGTCCTTACAACTGTCTAAAGTCCTAAAATATAGACACTATACTGATATGACCTCCACAGTTTCTACACAAACACACATTCATATCCAAAAAATAACATATCCATGCCATAAATATTCATCAGAAATCAAATTAAATCAACTGCGAGAACATCTTAGACCTGACTAGTCGCACACATTACTCACATATAAGATAACTGAATTTCCAGACAGCTTACCAAATACTGGTTTTCTTGCGTTGTATCAAGGGGTTGTGATGACATCATATGTTTTAACACTGATGAACCACACTTGAAATACACAAGTAAAATGGAAAATGTTGACCCTGAAACAACAAAGTACGACAAAGAGGTCGAACTCCCAAGTATCAGGACTGTTCTCATAGTGAAATACGACAGTGTAAGACAATGTACCACTCAGCTGAAGATATTAAATCAAATCAATTCAGAGAGCAAATTAAACTTAACACCTGTCTTAACTTGACTTTTATTTTCAGATATAAACCACAAAACATTAATGTTGTGTTTATAAATCAATAATACCACAATTAGAGTGCAGAGCAATTCATCCAATCATCAGCCTGTCATTCCATCTCTACCCTGTCAGTGGTCAACTTAGTTTATGTCTGTTAAACTTTACTTCAAACACACAATGTAGAACTTAGCATGTCTATACAATCACTATGAAAGTATAATGTAGTTATAAACACACGTTTGTTTCATCATAATCACCAAAGACACTCCATAATAATAGTTTACAAATTCAGCAAATACAGAAGTCTCTAAACTGAAGTAATTCATGGTCATTTTTGATTTAGTTTTTTTTTTTTTTTGACTCCACAATACCAAACAAATTTAACTCTGAAACCAACGCCAGCTCAAGGCTTTCTGTGTCTTGGGTGATGTTTACAAGAGGCTGTGCTCCTCTAACATGAACTCATCACAGGAATTTAACTTTTCACAATATGGTACTTGTCCAAACAACATGCCTCCTTAATGCGCGCGCAGTCGTAAATAATGGATTTTTTTTGTTGCCATTCCATGGTGAACATTGTGACTACTGAAACAGAGTTAGCTGTGTTGGTAGTCTGGCTCTTGTTTTGCTCCAGTTCACGAAGAACTCGGGTTTTCTGATACTTCTCTGTGCCGCCTGACAGTGAGTCAACAGGACAACATGGAGTCTCTGATTTAAAGATGTCATTTCAGCCCCTGAAGCCTTTTCACAGAGCATAAATTCAACATAAATCTGTTAAAAAATCAGTAAGAGTGTGGGAGGTGTGTTGTGTTGATTCTCCTTTCCTTCAGGCCTGCCACAGCGTGGGACAAATTTATTTATACTCAGCTCATGCCCAGTACATTTATTTTAGTTTATCCCAAGAAATAAATATTTTAAGTTTGCTGGAGACCTACAACTGTAACAATAATATTCTTATTAACCTTTATAAAATCCAGTCTTACCTTTCTAGTGCGCATTCTGACTGCATCCTCTCTCATAACTTCAGGCTCTTCTGCTTCATTTATCCGACAGGTAAGATGTGCAGTCACGTGCACAGCCTCATCTGTTTCCTCCACGTTAGAAACCGTGGCTCCTGGCCTGTGGTCGTCCCTCTGACCATCTGTCACCTCAGAGCCAGGTGACTTAGTGGAGTCACATCCTGAGGCACGGTTCCCATGGATACCCTCCGATGACAGCTCAGCATTGATCTCCACACGGCAAGATGTCCGGTGATGGTCCTGTTGCTGTGTGTCTGTGAGATCGCTATCAGTTTGACAGTGAATGAATTCTGAGTAAATGTCGTGAGGATGTGATCCTGTCAGGTCGTCAGTTTCAACACAGCTGACCTCTGGTATCGTGTCCAGTTTGCAGCTATTTTCTAAGTCATAAGCTGCTGCTTGGTTGACACAAAATGTGGACTCATCACCTGAGCCTGAGCCGGTGTTCATGTCCTCTGCTGGTGGAGCCACACACTCCTCTTTTTCTGTAGATGCAGCATCGACATTTTCAAATGAAACACAACTGCTAACTAGCGTAGAACAAAGCTGACCTTTTGGAAAGATATCAGGTGATGCAGCTGCTCCATACCTGACCTGGTTTGATTTCTCGCTGCTTCCTGCCTGTGGACTTTCCACTGCCCCTGGCGTACTCATCTGTGTCACTGTAATATTAGTCAGTTCCACTGAATTCTGGTGGGTTATTTCGTTATATCCCGTCTGATCCAAAACCCCAGTGCAGTCAGGATGACCGCGGTTTCCTCCTCCGTTGTCTCTCGACTGCGGTTTGACTTCTGTATTTTCATTTAAAGTTTCTAGGTCATTTTTTATACGCGGTCTCTCAAAAGAGCGTTGGCTGCAGCTTTCTAAATGACTCGCTTCTGCTTTCACAACTGGTTCTCCAGCAGCAGATTTGTCAGCCGGACACATGATATCAGCCTCCTCCATCACATGAACTGGACTGGGAAGAAGACCAATAATGAAGTTCCTATGAGCATCAGCGTGCTCAGATGTTGAAATCTCCTCTTTCTCAACATCTGGCATGTCAGTTGGAGGTTTTCCTTCAGCAGTGATCAGTGACCAGTTGAGCGTAGCGTCAGGGTTTTCAGCAGGTCTGCTGTAACCCTCTGTGTGCCTCTCCTTTGTTTCCTGGTGATTTGAATGTTTGCCAGTTTGCACACCAGCAGATCCAGACAGTGGAAGACCATTGTTTGAAGAGATAGAGATGCATTGTTGCCCCACAAGAAGGACATGTGGCCTTTTAAAGGCATCAGCATCAGTGCAGACGTTGTAGCAACTTTCTACGCCGACTTCACCTTCATTACTGACCGTTTCGGTTTTGAGCCTTTGGCTAATGGCAGCACCGGAGAGATTTGCACAAGACGTAAGACTGTTTGAGTTGCAGTGATATTCTCCAGGATTATCCTTGTTTTCAGTGTCTGCATTTTCAAACACACACGCTGTGTCAACAATATCCAGATCCTGTAAATCCAATGAAACATTCTCCTGGTTTCTCATTTCATTCAACTGTTTATTTTCCGTGTTGTCCTCCACAAAAGTAGCCGTCGCTTCACATGTCACAACAAGGTCGTCTGAGGAAAGCTGGTGACAGCCCTCTGGCATAGAGGCACATCTTGTCCTCCGACCTTGCTGTGAAGCCTCTGCTCCAGTCCAGGGCCCGGTGCCGTCCACTCCATGACAGCAGACCAGGTCCAGATCATCAAAGCTGTACTTCAGTCCTGAAGGATGAGTCACGTGCTCTTCCCAACTTCTTTTCCGTATGGCTACTGGCATGGTGGGCGGACAGCCGCTGCTATCCCATAGAGCTGAAGTCGACGCTGTCTGAAAATGAATAAATATTATTACTACAAACTGAACATGGGTAGGAAGTATTAAGTAAAAGTATACAACAAAGGAGGTATGATAGTGTTCACAGTTCCGTGTAAATGCTGCAGGACAAGGACAAAGACAAAAAAAATGAAATAACAAAGCACAGCCTTTTATTATGATGAAGAGAATGAATCTACAGTAAAAAGTATCTCGGTCTAGGTAAATGTTGATATCTCCTGTTTACCCGTGGTACCAAACCTACTTATCAGCTTCACTCTGAAAAGCCTTCGGTAAACACCGTGAAGAACTGCCTCGAAAAATTCCTGGTGTTGCTTAACTGTCATTCTGCACATATCCACGGAGCCACAAATGTGACCAAGACTGCAGTGTTTGTCAGTGACAACAGCTGGTTCTCTGTTATCCCGAGTCCTCACATTACACACTGTGAGTTTAATCACAGGAACAGAACCCGGTTCTATAACGTGCTGGGGTTGTTTTTTTTTGGGGGGGGGGGTTCCGTTCCTCTAGATCAGAAGTGAGGAAGTGAGTGAACACGAGGGCTGCCTGGTGAACTAAGAACAAAGTCCACATCTGCTTTATTTATCAGACACCGTGTATTTATACAGATGGAGGCAGATGACAGGAGTGTCTGAATTAATTTCACGGTTGGTGAACTAACAGTTTTGTGCTTTCATCCACAAAAAAGTGACAATATTTACTCTTCTTAAAGCTGTTATTCACAGACTGTATCACAAAGTTCCTATTTAAATGAGTGTAACATTTCAATCAGATCTTTGTGTCAGCTGTTTCACCTTCTCTTTAATTAGAGGTTGAGCTGGATCAAACAAAGTGTCATCTGCACCATTCCACATGAGGTCACGCCGGTGGGGTAAGTTCAGGGAGGGAGGTGTCAAATAAAAGTCCTACGGCTGCCGATCCTTCAGGTGGTCATCTTGTCAACAGGAACTGCATTTCAAATTAAAATTAAAAAAACAAAAGTTCACCTCCTTTAAGTTCTCCACTCCTGGCATTTTGGTCCTTAATCATCCAGTGATTATAATAATGGCAATAAGTACAGCAGGATGTGCAAGATGAAGAATGAGCCAGGACTTCCACAGATGTTTCTCAGGTATTACTGTAAATCCTTATTCGATTATTAGGAATCCCACTCTCCCCCCGGTCCTTGACATCTGCCTTACTCTCGGAGCAGTCCTTAGGCTACGTTTTGGTAAGCCATTTTCTTGCCTCTTGTCAGAATCCTTGCTGTAAATCTGTCGGACATGCAGTGAAGCCACCAGAGGCAGGCAGAGAGCCGGAGCGCAGCAAGACGTCCGTAGACAACTTCCATCTTGAGCACATTAAGGTTTTCGCTGACAGTGAATGCCAAAGAGTCAGGGTGGTGTAAGAGGGGCTGGCTTTTCTTTCCACCACTCCACCCCTGATCACTCCTTCTCTAACCCTTTTCTCATCAGGTCCCCTCCCCGCTGGTTTTGACAGGGAGTCTGAGTCACATCTGAGGAGGCCCATCCCCCGTCTCCTAACTCACCCAGCATATTATTATTATCATTATTAAGAATGTATACACGCAGAGCTCTTCAGTGTACTTTCTCTTCCTCATCCATTTCCACACTCTCTCTCACACTCTCTTCTCAGTGGACTTCTCTAGTTTTCTCGGCTTGCTGTTTCACAAAGCTGGATAAGGCACCCACCAGTTGGTTTTGATTAGTACCAGACAGGCTGCCTCGTAAGACCTCTGGCCCGGAGCCAGATTCCCCTGTGTTTTAGCTCTGATATCTGAGGTATTTTTTATTTGTCATTTTGGAAGACTTACTAAAGTAAAGCCACGATAACTGTTAAAGATATAAACATTTCCCATAAATAAACAAAGATAAAAACGAAGCTAAAAGACATGAAATAAAAAGACATGTGAACTCACACACTTGTTTTTTGTTTTTTGTATTTTTTCCAAAAGGAATATTTGTTTCTAACAAAATGAAAATGTAAACCAGATGTATTTGCACATGAGGTCACTGGGACCACTTATCTGAAAAAGATTGTACTGTGAAATAAGCAGAATATTTCCACAGATTTCCCTGTCAGTGGAAAACTTCCCGATAAGCCAAAACAAAAAGTCAGAACGTTTTTGTTACATACATTTTGTGTCGACTACACAGAAAATGCAGTGCATGACGTATGAGTATGTTGATGGCATTTATAGGGAGTCAAACTGTGAGGAAATTTACGAAGACTTTTTAGCTCGGGCCAGCTGCACATGGAGAGCAATATGTCAAAGCAGTGGGGACAATCAGAGCACTGGGAAAAACAGGAACGGGGCCTCCTCCTGATGCTGCTGCTGCTGCTGCAACCCTGTCCTTTAACCTGTGGGTCGTCCAGATGTGAGTTGAGGTTCTGGATGCATTTTTTTTCCTTAGAATCTTTGCTGGGAAAATAAGATCTGCTGTCAATGTCAGCTCTCCTGGGACACAGATGCTCAAGCTCAAAAAGGAAGATTCAAGGACAACAAGACTCCCCTGCTGCATGTCATGTGAGGAGCTCTGTGGTTACGACGGGTGCAGTGTAACAGAATACAGATTTTTTTGAAGTCGCTGCAGCCCACTGTGGATATAGATGATGAGTGAAGCGCAGATGCAGACACAGCTATGTACTCCTGGCCTCACGTCGACACACAGAAGCAGGCCTAAGGTTGAGCAGAGCAGCCCCAAACCTCTCCTAACGCCAAATTAGATTAGGACCACAGGGCGACTGGTCTACGTCACTATCTGCTCCATCAGTGACTTTGTGCAAACACTTGAATCAACACATTGAGGCACAGCAGACTAACCAAAAATGGTCTTTTTTGGTTCAGTGTGAGCTTCAAATTTGGTCTACCGCCCCCGTCAGGCCAGCCATGCAGTTATCATTGAATGTCAATTCATGCATGGGACAAAAATGGAGTCATCTGGCCACAGATTTGTTTTTTGGACCATTTGAGATGAGCGTAGACTACACAACATTTATATTCTCTCTGCTTCATACACTCTAATGGAACATTTGATGCAGCAGTAGGCAGAGTCCAGATTTGATGTCCTAAAATCATGTCGCAACATCAACAAAGTAACATGTTGCATTATTCAAACTATTCAATGTACATGTCCGAAAAAAGATTTTTAAACTTTCACAACATTGAGGATGAAGTAATGTGTGGTTAGCACGCCTTCGTCACAAGCAGAGAGCAGAGAGTCCTGGGTTCGATTCCCAGAGGAACCACATGCTTTATAATGTTACTCCTTCTCAGTAAGTCGCTTTGGATGAAAGCGTCTGCTATATGCATAAAAATGTAAATGTGATGTAAATGCACCCTGTTTGTCAAAATTTTAAATTACTTACTTACTACTTACTACAGGTTGAACATAAATAGAAAATGATTGATAACTTTTTAAAGTAGTCAACGTTTTAGCTTTTTTAATGACTTTATAATTGTAAGTTGGCATGTGTTAAACATTTTATTTTTGTATTTACTTGGCCACGGAGAAGTGATTGATGGAACACTACAGTTACTACAATGTGTCTCACAGACTTTTACAGCAATCCACCCACAACGACTGACATATTTCATCCCGCGCCAAAACATTATTTCCTCTCACAGACAGAAATATTCTCTCTGAGAATAACTTTCCACTTTTTCACAGCCCCACAATTTTGACTACGGCTTTAAAAGGCATCTCACAAGATGTGAAAAAGAAACACATTAACGTCGGCGGTGATTATTGCAGATGATTAGACGGCGTGATCTACGTTCCACTATGTAAATCCCCTTGTAGGTTTGTCTTGGGTATGTGAGTATTTATTTCCCCTAGGGTCATCATAACAGACTAGACTCTACTGAAGTCCCACATCACAGAGGATGTGCGTGAACACTCCCGGAGGCATGCAGCATCAGTGGTCACATGTCTGCAGCGATTACATACATGGTGAAGAAAGACCTATTCATGATTCACCCTGTGATCCCCCACTGTTCCAGCTTCTTAGGCTCAGCAGAGAGGGCCCAAAGGAAACAGTCTCACATTCCTTACTGATATAGTTTATTATTGGAAAAATACGCCAGTCTAAATCATTGGCATTAAAGAACACAGACTGTTTGCCCTGGTAGGAAAATGTAGGTGACGCAAAAAAAAAAAAAATCCCTCCCATAACTGAGTCATTTTAAATGCTCACAGCTACAAAGACGGCTTTGAGAAGAGTTTGTTGGCTCTTAAACGGCTCCTTTAAATAACTGGTTGTGATTATATTTACGTAGTGGTTGAAGGAATATCTTTGGTTAATTTACATTTGCACACGTGCAGACACACAAACTGTCCCTATCACGCACATACACAAACCGAACAGAATATTCAAAAGGAATTGAAAGTTCTAAATATAACACTACAAAATCCCACAGAGATCCTTGTCGTCCTTTTCTGTTCCTGGCTATGCCCTGTGGTTCGCAGGGCCAGAGTCACGCTGCTGGAAATGACAGGGTTCCAGGCCTGGGTGGGAACTGCAGCCATGGCCGTAATCTTGAATAAACCATACCAACGTGGATAAAGAAATGTGTAAATGAAAAAAAACAAAACACGATAGGACAAGTGTAATGAGTTATCACTAAATGTGTGGACATTGTGTTTATTCCCACTGGCTGTTCTGTGTGGGTTTGAGGGGAGGGAGTGGGGGGGGTGGGGGGGGGCCTTGGCCAGAGATGGCGGTTTATATGTGACTGTTCACCGTGGGAACAGGAAGTTCAAGTTATTAGGAATACAGACCAAAACAGACTAAAATAATCTATTTAATCTTCTTAAGAGGATCTGTGTGTGTGTGTGTGTGTGTGTGTGTGTGTATGTGTGTGTGTGTATTGGTGCATGATAGGATGCCGTGTGTTTGTGTGCGAACGCGTGCATGTGCTACATTTAATGTCAGCAGAAAACACGGATTTAATCACAGAAAAGCACATCAGTACAGACAGTGAAAGAGCTGGTCTTTTGTTCTTGTTCTGAATAAAAGCCTTGGATAACCAACATGGTCATGTGACCACTTTAGAGATTAGTACTCTTAACGTGAAATATATATCATCACACTCCTACTGCAGCGACCAGATACACCCTTTAGAGATGTTTTTTTAAAGACTAATTAGTACCGTTCCGCAGGAGAATCCTTTAGTTGTCTGTTAGCTTTAGCATATATGATTTTCAGCATAACAAAGGTGGAATAATTTGTGAGTAAAAATCTAAATTTGAGAGAGAGAGAGAGAAAGAGAGAGAGAGAGGAGACGTTGGCCTGTTCTGTTCAGAGAGTTGACACAGTCTCTGTTTAAAATAGTTTAATTGTGTTTAGCGGTGCGTCATGTACCCCGTGTACGGACTGTTTACTGTGCGCTCCTTGTCTTAGCGACGCTCACTGTGTGACGTGTGCTGTGTCTGATTTGTGCCTTGTGTCTATACCTTGCACAGTACACAGCTGTTTCCTAGCTGAACTGAACTTACTGGGCTCCTCACCTTCAAAACCCCAATAGAAATATGTAAAATATGAATATATATAACCACAACTTAGCTCTGCTGCTAGTCCTAGGTTTGACAAATCTGTCCCAACGATTTACTCCTTAGTACTTTTTTATGCTGCCCCAAATGTATTTTTGCATGAATTCCAAGTGTTTTTTTTTTATCCAGTCTGGGCTGACTCAACACTTTTTACTGTTTACATCTGCCACGTTTGTCCCTCCACTAGCTAAATATGTATCATTGTTCTCTACACAAACTCTCAGTTTAGGATGATTTGTTTGTCATCTGTTCAGCACCGACAGCTGGTTTCCATTTGCGCTCTCTGACTCAAAGACGTGTCCCACAACCCTGTAAGCAGCAACACCTGAGCACATTCCCACACTTCCGCAGCCTGAAAATGCATATGAGTGGGAATGTTCTTCCAAGGATACTGTACAACCTTTCTTTCTAATATCAAATCTCAAAGTCCAGTCTGGGTTGCTTATTTAGCCGAGCCCACTATTTTCCCTGAGCGTTGCACTGCATGAATGAAAAAACAACTGTCAGGGTGTAATTTCAATAGCTCTTCTTGGATGAGAGAGTATTTGCTTTAACAAAGGTCAAAGGATTCACAAAGAGGAAAACTACAGACAGTCATTTTTAACCAATCTCTCTTAACCTAGCTATCTTTGTGGGAAACATCAGATCCTCCAAAGCCTAACATTTCAGAACAGCTTGAGTCTTAGATAAACTGTCTGAGGATGCTAGCACGTAGTGTTTATCCTTGTGTCTTGTTTATGAAGAATGGTTCTTGAGTTTGGACCAAATGCTTACAGAGCAGAGGATAGTGACGTACTGAAACTCCCATCCCTGCGATTCTGCTGAACACATGCTACGCTGGCATGAACTAACTCACTGGAGATCCAGGAAACTGTGTTGTCCTTGGA